ACTCTTGTAGGACACTCTTGTGGGACACTCTTATAGGACACTCTTGTGGGACACTCTTCTGGGACACTCTTGTGGCTGTGGGACACTCTTGTAGGACACTCTTGTGGGACACTCTTGTGGCACACTAGAAGCAGTCCTGCGAGCGTTTCGTACGAGACGTCCTCCAAAAGTCACGCTTCGAGGCTGCACAAGACGAGCGTTTCGTGCGAGACTTTCTCCAAGAGTCACGCGTCAAGTCTCCAAAACGAGCGCTTCGTCCGAGACTTCCTCCAAAAGTCACACGTCAAGTTTCCAAAACGAGCGTTCCGTACGAGACTTCCTCCAAAAGTCACGTGTCAAGTCTCCAAAACGAGCGTTTCGTACGAGACTTCCTCCAAAACTCACATGTCAAAGTCTGCAAAACGAGGATTTCGTACGAGACTTCCTCCAAAAGTCAAGCGGAAACACCCATCGGAGCACACACATCACGCAGCCCTGCCAAGCAATTTCGCGAGTCCAGCCCCTCCAAACAATACCCCCTCACACGCCAATCCCAATGTGACAGCGACATTCACCTCTACCACAACTCACGACCTCACGATTCCCTGCGCCTGCCACGAATCTTTCCGCATCCACGCGTCTAACGCGCACAAAGTACTGCGCCTGCCACGAAATGTCACCTCCGTCACACCTCGCAACCTCACGATTTCCTGCGCCTGCCACGAAAATCGCACTTCCACACCTCAAAATCAGCACAACAAATGTGCCTGCCACGAAAAGTGAGAATATCATCTCACGTGAGCTTCAACAAAATTTGCACCACACCACACGTTTAGAATGATTTCGACCCGTTCTGAGCACACTCCCATCCACCAAAATCGCCATTTCAGCTGAGACTTGTCACGAAAACAGAGCTTCGATGCCACACCCTGAAACGCAAATCCCAATGGCACGGCCACATCCAACACCCCAAAAACACGACTCTCCAAACGCTAATCCTAATGGAACTGCGCAGTAAACTGCGGATCTCTCAAACCACTGCGCCTGTGCAGCGAAATGCATCACGCTTCTTGCGCGACATGTCATTTTCATGCAAATCACAATGGAATAGCGTCGCAAACTGACACGTGACACATCCATGAAAAGTCACTTGCAAAAGCTTCCCCCAATGGCAGCGCCTTAGCGTCCTACTGCGAACGGTTGCGGACGGTTGCGGACGGTTGCGAACGGTTGCGAACGGTTGCGGACGGTTGCGGACGGTTGCGAACATAGAAACAACGGATCGCGAACAAGACTCTACCCCCAGACCCCCAGAGTTAAACGAGA